AAAAAAAAAAAAAAAAAAAAGACAAGTTGATAACCATCTACATTTGAATAGCTAATTTATTTTCGTCATGTGCGATAAACTAAGTTCAGATCCGCACAGACGCTAGCAAGGGTTGTCATGTTTTGTCAAAGACCAGAAACAGAGGTCAAAAGGCATGTTGTCCCATGCCTGAGAAATGTCTGAGAAAGTGCCCAGGGTCAAGGGGTACGGGGGTCTGAGTCAAAAGCTGTGCCCGTCCGGTACCCCAACGTGAGACAGTTGACTCTTGGAAAATCAAGAGTCAACCCCAGCACAGCAGGGGATTCCAGGCCCTGAGTCAAAGGCAACCCGTTGGTCAGCCACGGCGGTCGATCAGATGCACATCAATGGCTGTCTGCAGGGGTATCGGGAAGCTTCCAGTCCCGACTGGGAAAAGGTACCGCTGCTTCGAGGCTGCATCCAGGTCGTCGAGACCGGGCAAATCTGGAACGTCGACACCGTCAAAAGGGGGACCGGTCCACGCCAGTCAACGCTAGTCGATGCGACAAAAGGAATGCCAGACACTGGGGAAAGCACTCTGCCTTGCGCTGGCTTGATGCTACTAGTGTTGTGTCGCGAGGCTGCTGGAGCTGGATGCTGGCACCAGATGCTGGAAGTGGGCGCCAGCCTGGAGGTAGATGATGTTGGTGCGGCCATAGCCGTATAGATGTAGATAGGTGAGATGAGTATTGGCGAGGAGGGGGAGGATCAGGGCTGTGAGACTGACGAGAGTTGTGGGAAAGATCGGCGACGACACGTGTGATCTGCTGCTGCCTCCACGAAGGTGAGGAAGTGCTGCGCCATCCTCCATGTCTGGTTGCTGACGTGGAGGGAGGATGGGCGCCCTGTTATGATCTGTGCAGTGATTGATATGTCAGAGGACGTCAGACGGAATATGCATTGCTGAGGTCGCAACAGGGGAGAAGCCCGACGTGGGAGTGGGAGAGAGAGGGAGACATACATGTACTATTGATTATCATTGAGACTCTCCTCCTCCTCTTCTATGTCTCTTCTCTCCTCTCTCTCTCTCTCTCCTCTCATGCTCTTCTTTGATGAGACTACACTCTTGAGTTGTGCAAATGACCGAGACATGGACGTGTAATTGATGTTGTTGGAGACTTCATGAGCTGCACTGGGTTCAGACTTCGCGATTGCATTATTGACTGGCTTCTCAACAAGTCGGGGCTCATTACATCATGTGTTATGTAACTTATTTTTTAATATTTAAATGTCTGTTAGTTGAGGGAGAGCACGAATCTGATATTTTGACTGTAACCGTATTATAAGTTATAACCAATGTTTTCAGAAGGTACGGAAGGTGATATTTCTTGCAGTGCACTGCCACCATGTTTCCCCGAAGATAACACATGTGTTGCTTTCGAGTCTCCGACAAAAATCGAGAAATCGAGCCGATGACTCGATTTTTAGTATGTTTTACACACATGCGTTATATTCGAATACAAGGGATGTTCAAATAGAACGCGTTCAAATAGAACGCATATGCGTCGTTTTGGAGTGGAAATCACCCTATGAGTTATATTCATTTACAAGGCATTCGAGCCGTATTCAAATAATAAAACCCCTTATGCGTTTGAATGCATATGCATTGTATTCGAATACAAAGCAACCTATGCGTTGTAGTCGTTTACAACGCATCTACGTTATGTTTGCGGGAAGACGGTCGCCTTCCATAGAAAAATATATTCTTTTTGAATTTGCATGTTGTCTAATAAAGAATATTGCGTTGCATGCCTCACTTGTTCCCTTCTGATCGACATCATACTGCGTTGTTTTACTGTTGGAGTCCGCTCCGCTGTTTGATTCCCCCCTTTGTCCTTTCCCCAGGTCACTTGAAACTGCATCCAGGGATAGATTATCTGACAGGTTCTCCTCACCGAACGCCGTGAAACACATCCCCGTGTCCGTGATTCGAGTCAATCCTATCTGGAACAACCCTCTGAAGGAGCAGCGGAGGATCCTTTCGGACTTGAAACGAACGCTTACGGGGCCAACTCTCCCACACGAATCGAGTTACGTCACGCGCCAAAAGAGAGCCGATCGGGACGCAGAGATCGAATGTGTTCGGGGCCTCAAGGACATGACCATAGAGCCTCAGCAGCCAGTGGGGGAAACCAATCAGAATCCCACCGGCGGTCAGCCACCAGAGAAGCAATCAACAAGTCGCAGCAGGACACCCAGGCAGGGCAAAAAGAAGTCGAGGAATGCAACTCCTACAGCAAAGACGGGGAAGAGCTTTACGAACAAGAAACCTCAATAGGATTACTTTGTCTCTCCCACAGAAACAGACACTAACTTTGCTGATACCTATTTTTTGTGCGGCGGAGCGTCAGCCTTGAGCCATACGTGACCTACATCTGGGGTGAAGTTCTACTAGCAGCGTTGAGTTTCCTCAACGTCCGAACATGGACGTGTTTGTGGAGATGTGCAGAAAATCGCATCAAGTTTTCTCAACCGCACATCCCCTCGAAGATGCCTACATCCGGGCATTGTTGAAACTCAACACTGCTGGTGGGACTTGCTTGGCCCCTGAACATCGTTGGTTGCTTTTATCTTTCCCACAGCCTGCTCATTCTGCTGCAGCACTTCTTAGTTGCTGCAGTGTGTGCCCTACTGTGTTCACCCGAATACAACGTATGGTCATTTTTGCTGTATCTATAGATTCTATAGACTCAAAGTTGTCACTAAATACAGCAATAATGAGTCTATAGAATGTATTCTATAGACTCAAAGTTGCCTTTGTAATGACCGTAGGACCGCTCGTAGGTTGTATTGGGATGAACACAGTCGACCTGATGATCTAACCATTATTAAGTCCTTAGTGCGTATGATCTGAGGGATCTTTTTTTTTTCTGTTTGTTGAATTTTGTTCTGCTTATAATGTGATAATAATGGATGATAAGCTGTGGTTGGGGTGCAGTTAAAAAAAAAAAAAAAAGATGTGCTGTGGATTTTGCCCGCGAACAAAAAAAAAAAAAAGGGAGAACATGAAAACAGTCGTTTGGGGCAGCAGTGTCGAGCTTCTGTGGGTGCAGAGGTTGGATCATAATAATCTATTTTTATCATGGTAACCGGCCGGACATCTGGACCAGAATCCAGACAGTCCGGTTGTCTGGGTTTGGGTACGGCGTCCGGTCCGGTGGTCTGGATTGGGCCCAATTTTGAAAAGTTTTTTTTTTTTTTTTGGTGGGGTATGGGACGTTTTTTGGGGCCCTAGGCCGCCCCCAAAAATGCCCCCGGTATTTTTTGGCCGTTTCAGGGCCTACCAGATGCCGCCAGACGCCTCCAACAGCTCCCCCTGCTGTTGTACTACGTTGCTGGTTCATCGGAAGAGGATGAGCCCAATTCCGAAGATGAAGCACTGGCTGCAAAGCGCCACTGAACATCAGAGAGAGAGAGAGAGAGAGAGAGAGAGAGAGAGAGAGAGAGAGAGAGAGAGAGAGAGAGAGAGAGAGAGAGAGAGAGAGAGAGATCTGAGTTTCTGTCTTACATCTGGTCCTGGCCGGATCTCACATCTGTTCTTACGCAGATCTGAATAACTTAGCAGTTTAAATTTTCAATTTTCATATGGTTCAAAGTTCAAAGTTCTGTTTCTTTCTGATTTTCGTACTCTTTTCTGAAGTGTGCCTTGGGATTGATTGGTCTGTTGAGAACTGGTTTCAACTTTCTAGTGTTGTGAACTTTCTAGTGTTGTGTGTGAGCCTTTGTGGATGTCTGTGTGACAGTATTGACTCTATTGAGCTGTCAAGTTATGAATAGTGAAAGACGGTAGGTACTAAGTTTCGTCCCCTTACTTGCAACTGCCATTGATTGTGTTTAAGTTTCGTCCCCTTACTCGCAGCTGCCATTGATTGTGTTCATTAAACTGACTTCATTTGTGCTTAGTTTTTTTTTTTTTTTTTTTTTTCCAGGCCGGACATTTTGTGTCTGGTGTACAGGTCTGGACGGTCCGGGTCAGGTCCTGTCTGGTTGTCCGGTGCCTGTCTGGATTACTGGACGTGTGGACCAGTCCAGACAAATGTCTGGGCCTCGGTCCAGATACGTGCGGGTGCGGGCCCGCATTTGCCATGATTTTTATGATGTATTGGCGGGGTGCTGCTTACCCCCATTTGTTGCAGGCGGGCACCTGTTCTTTCTGTTGCTTCAAAAAAAAAAAAAGATTGAAATCGCCTCTGCGGAAGGGTGGTGACACGCATAAGTCACAGAAATGGTCCAGATTTTTAAAAACTTTAAGATGAAAACAGAAGGTTTAAACGAACACAGCCCCTCTCCAAAATCGATAGAGTGCAGCGGTCCGCACACTGACAGCCTACCAGCACACCAGCAGAGCACGGACGAGGGAGAGAGGGGGCAGGGAGGTGGTAGCAGCACATGGGATTCTGAGCACACCAATTTTGCCGATTGTTGTCAATCAGAATGCTCGATGAAAGGTCCGACACAGTCAGCGACGTAGACAGAGTGCCGTACTCTCCAGGAAAAAGATTACAAAAATCAGGGGAAGAAAAAATTTTGGACGTCAACAGCAATCTGGCAGCAAAAGCGCATCTCTCCAGAAAAAGAGAAGAAAAATCAGGAGGAAAAAAATTTGGACGCCCAAAACAATCTGGCAGCGAAAACGCACATACTTTTGCTCCCTGGAGGCCCGGGCTGAGTTGGGGCCGAGTCCCACAGTCCCACCACGCCTGGGATTGATGTAGTTTGCTACAACGCATGTGACATGAAATTACAAATCATGGCCTCAATATCTCCATTCGATCTGACAGATCAGCCTGTATATGAGACGCTGGACCCGTTCTCCAGCAGGTGCTGCTCCCCACCAATAGATGGAGCCTCCCCCCCAGGTGTTAGCGATGTCTGCTCTTATCAGCATCGTTAACACCGGTGCAAGGAACATGAATATGGACGAAGCACAGAAATCCAGAATGTAAAATCACACTGAAGTCCAAGTAGTCCAAGCCACAAGCAGATAGCACAATGGAACCGAGTAACCATCCATTTGAGAATGATACAGAAGAATCGTGAGTCAATGTCCATGCCCAACAGGGCAACACCAACAGTATAACCCAAATGTAGCTCTCTCTTGTGAATGGCGCCAGGCACCCTATCTACTTCTACAGCCTAGCCTACAACTACAGCAATGAAAGCAACCAGACAACTTGACTACCAGCGAGTGATGATGTCAACACCAATGCCGACCTCCACCTCCACCAGGTACGTGTCCTCTTCACCCACACTCTCCCTTGTACCCACACAGCGCCATTCACCTCCGAAGACCTCCTTCGCCCTTCACCCTCACTGCACCCTCATGCGGCCCGGCTATGGCCGCCAGTGCCTTGCATGCAGGCAGCGCCCTACCGCCTAGCGCTTGCCTGCTTCACCTCAGCGCAGCGCTGCTCATGCATAGCGCAGCACACTTGTATCCGCGCAGCGTGCCCGCAATGCCAGCATTGGCCAAGATCCCAGCCCACTCGCCCTGCTTGCCTATATGCCAGTGCTGTTTGTGGGCGGCCTCCCTTCAGCCTGCGACAGGGCCCCAGTGGCTGAACCCAGGCCCATTACAGTTGGGGCCTGGGAGATGCAGTTGTGCCTCTCTCGTCAAGGCCTGCGGCCAGATTCAGACAGTGGGCCGGTTTCCCTTTGCATTTTCGGCCTCTATACCCAGCGTGCATTGTCGGCCTCTATACCCAGCGTGCATTGTCGGCCTCACGTTCAAGAGCCCAGGGCCTAACTAACTCAGAGACCCTGGGCATTTCAGCATTTGCTGAGATCCGAAACTCGGTGCACTCCAACCAACTGGCGTGCTGCAACTGTAAGGACCCCACTTCGTGAAATGTATGCACAGAGGGCTATTGTTGATTACTGGCGTGCTGCAACTGTAAGGACCCCACTTCGTGAAATGTATGCACAGAGGGCTATTGTTGATTTGCTGGCCCGCCTTCACTTAGGGCGGGCACGAGGCTTGCTGGGGCCTTAGCCCAGAACATGTACATCATGGCAAGGCCCCTTCTTGAGGGCTCATTCCTCACACCGGTAAGGGCGTGTTTTGAAAAAAAAAAAAAAAAAGATCAAACGGGGTCTGTTATTTCAACCTTCCCCCTGCTCACCAGCCAACACAAAGAAACAAAAAGCTATGCTACGAGCCTGGATGCCTACCTAGGTCCCTCCCGGCTGTCCATTATGTCCATCCGGACAGTGGGAACAGCCATCCATCCGCATCACTCATCCGGGCCAAGCACAAAATCAATTATAAGTAATATAAGATTGTTTGTTTGTTTGTTTGTTTGTTTGTTTGTTTTTTTTTTTTTTTTTTTTTTTTTACGTTTCAAGAATATTCGGAGTAACCCCTGTGATAAATAAGTTCAAATAAATAACAAATATTATGGTTGAATATTTTTTATCTACCTTTGATAGACCCCTCTAAACATTGTCAATAACCCCTGGGACCTTGTCCCACTTCGTCCGTTGAGGTAGGTCCACGTTTAGTTGTCTACGCCGTGCGACTGTAGGCGACGAAGGAGATGCACGCCCTCGCAATCATCCAGCAGTCTGTTCTTTTTTTTTAATTGTGAGTAGCAATGAACACATTTTTTCTTCCAACAAAATAGTACCGAAAATGTCGTTTTCTCGAATGCTACGCCCCCTACTCTCGCCACTTTCCGTTGAGCTAGCTGTCTCCTTTTTTGGAGACAGCCAGTTCAACGATCGTTGGCCACAAAAAGCCTCCTTTCTGGAGAAAATGTTCTTTTTTTAAGGTTATTTTATTATGTTTGGAGAAATTTTGAAGTTGCTTGTACTTTGCTATTTTGGTGCGACGTTTGAAGGATAGACTATAGCGTTAACTGCGGGAATTCGGCAACTCTTCATAGGATCGGAGCAGCTCGAATTCATTGTTGTCATGGGCGCCTGTACCTTTCGACAGTGGTGTGCAGAGGCCCGTGGCATAACGCGAAATGAACAGTTGGTGTAGAAGTCAATCCGACACCACTACGTTCTTCCCCCGAATACGATGTACGGTCATTATAGCTGTATCTGCTGTACCTTTCAGTCTGAATACATCTAGAATGACCGCACGTTGTATCCGGGGAAGAAAGTGGAGAGTCGGATCTCACAGTTTGAGGGTGAAGGCGGACCGGGCATGTCGGATGGCAGTAAGTTTCCATTCTGGGTTGTGGACGTCACGTTTGCCACTCCAATTGTGGAAACAAAAGGAAAAAGAATGAATTGCGGATTTTTTAATGCAATTCTGAATTTGAATTGAATTAAAAAAAAAAAAAAAACAGTTTCAGCTGTCACACCGTTGAGCTAGGTCCACTAAACGGTGCATGTGGGACAAGGTCGCTGGGATGCCCCTTTGTCCTTAATAATAATAATAATAATAATAATAATAATAATAATAATAATAATACAAAATAATAATAATAATAATAATAATAATAA